GAGCCTCAGTCCCCGAGTCTGGGAAAGGGGCAGATAAAACCCCTCCCCCGCAGAACTGCAGCTGAATGAGCAGCGCGGGGGTCGTGGCAGGGATTGTTTGTTTTTCTTTCTCTTAATTTTGATGATTGATGAATTTTTATTGTTTAGGAATGACTACGCGTGACACACCTATCTCCCGCTATCGTTCTGCAGTTGCTCCATTTACAGATGTGCGTGCTGAGTCCCAGGCCCAGACCCAGGCAAGTATTGTTTTAGGGGCCCGTCTCTATAGAATTTGAGTCCCCTGAAGTCAGCACCGTGGCACCAGACCCCGGTGACCCAGACCCTGATCAGTGATGGTTTGAATGCTCCTCAGCCAGCGAGCTTTCTCACTCATGCCTGCCCTCTCGCTCTCCGACCTCATAACTGCGGAGGCGTGAGGGGGGACTCGTCTCTACCTGTGGCCTCGCTCCTTCCGTGTTTCCAACCACCCTCCTGAACGGGGTGGGGGGGGGACCAGGTCGGGTTGTCATGGGAACAGTGGGGTCCCAGCCCACTCCTGGTCTGAGAGCCTGCAGCAGGGGTGGGTCACACGGCACAAACGCGGCTACGGGCTGGGGGAGGGGTGCTGGGGGGGGTCAGAGAGCAACGGGGGACAGAGGCCAGCGTCCTGGCTTCAGGTCTCTGCTCCTTTCGCATGGCCTCAGTCTTCAAAAAAAGTTTTTTAAATTATTTTTTTTTTTAGTTTTGAGAATGAGAGAGTGAGAGCGAGAGCACAGGAGCGGGGGGAGGTGCAGAGAGAGAAAGGGGGACAGAGGATCTGAAGTGGGTTCCGAGCTGCCAGCACGGAGCCCGACGCGGGGCTCCAACTCACAAACCATGAGATCACGACCTGAGCAGAATTTGGATGTTCAACCCACTGAGCCACCCAGGTGCCCCCCAAATTTTTTAAAAGTTTATTATTTATTTTGAAAGAGAGAGAGAGCAAGTGGGGAGGGACGGAGAGAAGGGGGAGAGAGAAGAATCCCAAGCGGGCTCCGCTGTGTCAGCACAGAGCCCGACGTGGAGCTCAAAGCCACGAAACCGTGAGATCATGACCCGAGCCGACACCGAGACCTGGATGCATAACCGACTGAGCCGCCCAGGCGCCCCACATGGTCTTAGTGTTGATGGTGGCTGGGAACTGAGGAGGGGGCACCCAGTCAGTTGGGGGCAGAGGCAGAATGGGCAGGAGGAGGCAGGTAACGTGGGCACCGCCAGCTAATACTAGCGGGGATGTGATTTCCAAATAGGATGAGAAGTTTGTGGAGTTCACCTTGGGAAAGGGGTTTTGCTTTTGGATCCAAACTAGTCTGCAGGGGCGCCTGGGGGACTCAGTTGTTTGAGCGTCCGACTTTGGCTCAGGTCATGATCTCGTGGTTGGTGAGTTCAAGCCCCGCGTCGGGCTCTGTGCTGAGAGCTCAGGGCCTGGAGCTGCTTTGGGTTCTGTGTCTCCCTCTCTCTCTGCCCTTCCCTTCCGGCGCTCTGTCTCTCTCTCTCAAAAATAAATAAACATTAAAAAATTTTTTTAAATTAAAAAATAAATAAACATTAAAAACAAAAAACAAGTCTGCCGCAGGAGCTCTGCCCCAGGGCGGGTAAAGGAAGACATGAGCAGCGGCTCTTCCAGTTCAGATCCAGGCGGGTGCGGCGGAGGGCCGAGGGCGGTACCGGGGGGACAGCTCTCTGGAATGAGGGTGTGTGTGAGCCCAACGGCCAGGCGCTACGACGCCCTCAGGAAGGGTCACACTCGAGCTATTGGTGGCCAGTCACCCATCAGGAGCCCGTGGCAGGAGAGGGCTGTAGCTCCGGGGGTGGGGGAGGGGGACCTATTGGACCAGAAAGCCTGAAAGACACAGCCCCTTGGCCCCACTCGGAGCTGGGGTCTGTGGAGACAGAGAAAGAGACTCACTCTGTCGGGGCCCCGAATCCCACCGAGCCCCTCCTTCCGGGGCTTGGGGGCCAGCACACCTGGCTGACCAGGTTATGCCACCTCTGTCCCTTCCCTCCTTCCTTGAGCTGGTCGACACCCGGCACCCAACGGTGTCCGGTCCCCCTCCCTTTCCTAGGGAGCCCCGCTTTCAGATCTCCTTCCACCCTGAACCCAGAAACCCCGAGAGGGGACCTCAGAAAGTGAGGGACACAACCTGGAAAGCCTCTCAGGTCACTGGCGCAGGTCACAGGTCACAGGTCACAGCCAGCGACCGTGGGCGGCCACGAGGCCCCGGGCCCCCATCCACCAGCAGGAGCTGAAGAAGGCCCTGAAATGCGAAGAAACCAGCAGAGATCTGTGCCTTTGTCAGACTCTAGGGGGCAGCAGTGCAAACCTGGCCATGGACCTGCGGCGGCTTTAACTCCCCCTCCCCCACCCCGAGGAGGCTCCCAGGCCCGGGTGGAGGACCTGATGTGCTGAAAATCCACGTATAATTTGGGGTTCAGACACATCAGCAAGTGGCTGCACCTACTACCTGTTAAAGAAAAACTATAGGGAAAACAGCCTTAAAATGGAAAAAATTTTATTTTGCCTAAAAACTGGGAAATTTAAATTCTTACAGCAGAACACGTTAATCCAGCTCGAAACGTGCGTACTTGGGAACAATCAGTTGAGTTCAAATGATTCTTCATTTTGCAGATGGAAACACAAAGGTGAATCCAGACATGGGGACTGTCCACCTGGTGGCAGAGTAAGGGTGAGGATGTGGGTCCTCGTCCTCTGGGCAAGTGGCACACAATCTTTATTTATAGCAGGGGCCACACCCTCCTGAGGGTTGTGTAAATGGAGGCAGTGTGGCCTCTGAGCCAAGGGCGTCGGCATCACCTCGCACTTGTCAGAAATGCACATTTAATTTCTTTTTAATGTTGATATTTATTTTGAGACAGAGAGAGACCAACCATGAGTGGGGCAGAGGCAGAGAGAGGATAACCAGAATCCGAAGCAGGCTCCAGGCTCCAAGCTGTCAGCACAGAGCCCCACGCGGGGCTTGAACTCATGGACTGCAAGATCATGACCTAAGCCAAAATCGGACGTCCAACCTACTGAGCCACCCAGGCGCCTCGAGCTGTCCCAGTTTTATTTATTTTATTTTATTTT